AGAAGAGAGATTACAATCGTGCGGACGCAGTGTGTGCGCCACGAGCGACGTCACGAAATCACGCCAATGCTATTTTTAAGGGCCAGGTGTGACACCCGGTTCCCTATCGCTCCCGTACACATGTGTGTACACGTGGGGGTCTCCCATGCTGAAGAGGCATTTCCACTACCACCGGATCTAGGGGCACGCGCCGCTCTAGACATCTGCGTGAAATGCTTTCAGTGATGAGTGTCCCGCATCTTTGTATGTGTGTATGATTCATTTACAATTACATTCTTTTACGACTTCGGAACAGTTCGATTGGTTTTTGCGAATTAGTCATTTAAAAAAAAAAATTGACTTTGCGTTAATGGTGGCTGCACTCTTGAAGATTTGTTATCGTTTACGTGATAACATGAAGCTACTGCACATAATTACAACGTATTAAAAATTATATATCTTGTATATGTATTTTATGTACAATTAATTGATTGTATTTTTTTTTATTTTTAAATACCTTAGATGTTCATGCACGATACAACAAATATTTAAATGGGCCACAGATTCTAATTATGATTTAAACCATTCAGAGCGAAGCATACGACTCATAGTTTAGCAAGTTTTATTCTTGGTTTTCCTTTTAGCGATTGTTTCGTGAATCGGTGATGTCACACATTGGAATTTTGTTAATAATAGATTCTTCCGGGCGAGATCTTCAGATCTTCGGATACTTCTGAACGAAATATATAATAAGTTCTTCATAGCACTACATTACACGAAAAAGCTCTCCTAATATCTCCAATCGTACTGTAGAATCAATTATGAAGCTGTACGTACTTTTACCGATAGCAATTTAGCAAGGTAAATTTCACTGAAAGTGAAATTATATGACTGCGTCGAGCGAAAGAAAGCGCGACTTCGACCACTATTTTACATACTATTATGCATACTATCTATGTACACGCGAATGCTATATGTGCCTTCACATACATTAATGCAAACAAAATGATTGAAAAGCGAAGACATTTAGCTTTACTAAAATGTCAAGGCTAATTTTACGCGTAAACCTGTTATTATGCGCGCATCTTCGTTGCATTTCATCTTGAGAGAAAAATGATGAAGAAACACGCAAGTATGTACTTCTCAAAAGCGTTGGAAGAGTCATAATCGATACGTATCGGTACATTCGTTTATTATTGGTGATTCAGGATGTCTCTATTCTGTAACGACCGATGTCCAATGGCATTGTCTCGGGAACGTCACATATGCACGGGAACGTCTGCAGTTATGCGTCCCGTAAAAGCATCAAAAGGGTCTGTAAGACCTCTATTGTATGTGGAGATCCGTATGAAATAAGGGACAGCTGGGTGTAGACCGTTATTTAAAGGTGCGCGCTACCGAACACGCGTCTGTTCAAATTGGTTGGTGGAATTTAAATTTCCGATAAGAGATCCAGGAACTTTCATCATGTGTCATGTGCACAGATAACTGTAATTGGAGAGATACAATCGATTTTTCACCTAGCAGAGAATGAATTTTCGAATTCAAAACTTTTCTTTACATACAGATACAGTTTCATTTAATTTTCTAATTTTTTCTTTTTTTTTTTTTAACGAAATTATAGGATCCATAAAACATTACCTCAGATCAAGACTGATAACATTGGAGTAATCAAACGAAGTGAACAGAAATATAATAGCCCATTGCATAATAATCATATTTTATGATGTAAAGTTATTGCAAATTAAAATACATTCTATCTATTAACTCTTTCAGTCTAGTCAATCTATAAAAAGAAATATTTCCTTTTCACGTAACAAAATTATATATAATATTTATATATAATATTTAGTGTACTTTCAACGTCCATTCCAATTTACCATTTATTAATATAATTAAGTGTGTACTAGTATCGTATGTATTATAGACAAGTCACTGTTATGACAAGTCACTTCTATGTGTCAATTTGTACCTTCTGCCATCCTTAAAAGGAATTAAATTCAGAATCGGATCGGTTGTTTAGACACAAGATGCGCCATCTACTTATGAACATTATACCAGAAAGTTCTGTGTTTTCCACTAGAATTCCATAGCAATTTCTGTTCTTCGAGCAATCCAAACTCATTTTTCATTGGTTTGAAACAATTTGATTTTTTAATATGAACCAATCAGAGAAACGTTAGAATATGGGAAGAAAATGCATCTTTGGCGTTTCAAGTGGAGGCGCCACCTACAGATCGACAATTTCTTATAATTGTGCTTTGCAGTAGAGTTGAAGAAACATCATTCGAGTATATATTGTGTTCTACCGCTTTAACAGTAATTCACAATGGTAATTAATTAATCTTTATGTTTTCTATGTATGTTGTGAAGTAACATTATTACAATATCGCCAGAAATAATGATACGTTAATTTTTATTACCCGGTTTTGTAGAAAGATGTGACAAATGGCGCACGTGTGTCAATAGATTTTTTTTTATTATAAATTAAAAAAAACTGTTTCTTAAATGTAGTATAATAGTTTATATGACAGTTGTAATTTGAAAAACATTTTTTTTGTTTAATAAAATTTTGATTGATTTTTTATATGACAATAAATTAATGAAAAAGAAAGTAATGAACATGCGAGAAATTTAATGTAAGAATGTATGTAATAATTTACATGACATGGCTAAATTAAAATACATAGGATGTTTTTGCTAAAATCGGTAATGCAAATAATTATAATGAAAATAATTATAATTTTAATGTTTTGCAGGTTTCTTTGAATCCTGTCAGGATCCTTAAGAATGAAGCAGAAGAAGAAAAGGCAGAAATTGCCAGGCTAAGTTTGTTCGTAGGAGCAATAGCCATTGGTGATTTAGTGAAATCTACACTTGGACCTAAAGGTATGGACAAAATATTAGTAGCTCATGGCAGATCTGCAGGACAAGTTCAAGTAACCAATGATGGGGCAACAATTCTTAAGAATGTTGGTGTGGATAATCCTGCTGCTAAAATCTTAGTGGACATGTCTCGTGTACAGGATGATGAAGTTGGCGATGGCACTACTTCTGTAACTGTACTTGGTTGGTATAATTATTTTAATTTCTTTGATATTAATATAAAGGTCAAAATAAAACTTTTTATCATTTGAGTTTAATTATTTTAGCTGCCGAATTATTAAGAGAAGCAGAAAAATTGATTGATCAAAAGATTCACCCACAAACCATAATTGTTGGCTGGAGAAGTGCAACCAATGTAGCTAGAGAAGCTTTGAAAAATGCTGCAGCTGATAATTCTGCAGATCCTGAACGTTTCCGTGAAGATCTGTTAAATATTGCCCGCACAACTTTAAGTTCAAAAATTCTCTCCCAACATAAGGAGCACTTTAGCAAGCTTGCAGTAGATGCTGTATTACGTTTGAAAGGATCTGGGAATTTATCAGCCATTCAAGTAATTAAGAAACGTGGAGGAACTTTAGCTGATTCTTTCCTTGATGAAGGATTTTTGCTAGACAAAAAACCCGGAGTGCATCAACCTCAAAGAGTAATTGATGCACGAATACTTATAGCAAATACTCCTATGGATACAGATAAAATCAAGGTAAAGAAATATATGAGCTTATTCAATAATTAGTTCTAATTCACCAATAGTCATAGATACATTGGTTTACAGGTGTTTGGCTCTAGAGTCAGAGTTGATTCAATGGCAAAAATTGCAGAATTAGAAACAGCAGAAAAGGAAAAAATGAAGGTAATTAATTATATTAAGATGGTAACCAGTAAGAAGAGCTATATTTAATTATTTCTAATCACATGTTCCATTTAGGATAAAGTTGAGAAGATTATAAAACATGGCTGCAATGTTTTTATTAATAGACAATTAATTTATAATTACCCAGAACAATTATTTGCGGATGCTAATATTATGGCTATCGAGCATGCTGACTTTGATGGTATTGAACGACTTGCTCTTGTCACTGGTGGAGAAATTGTTAGTACCTTTGATCATCCTGATATGGTAAAACTTGGTAAATGTGACCTCATTGAACAGGTATGTCTGAATTTGATTCAAATTATAATTAATGAATTACTGTTTTTAAAAAATTATTAATTTTAGGTAATGATAGGTGAAGATACTCTATTACGGTTCTCTGGAGTTCCTTTAGGAGAAGCTTGTACAGTAATTATTAGAGGTGCTACTCAGCAAATTCTCGATGAAGCTGAGAGATCTTTGCACGATGCGCTTTGCGTATTGTCAGCTACTGTACGAGAATCGAGAATCGTTTATGGTGGAGGATGTAGTGAAATGATAATGGCTTGTGCCGTAATGAAAGCAGCCGCTTCTACGCCTGGAAAGGAAGCAGTTGCAATGGAATCTTTCGCTCGAGCATTACAACAATTACCCACCGTTATTGCCGATAATGCTGGTTACGATTCAGCTCAACTAATTAGCGAGTTAAGAGCTGCGCATAATTCTGGTGCAAATACTATGGGTCTCGGTAAATATTTTCTTTATAAATTTTATATTTCTTTATAAATTTTTTATTAAAAATAACATCAATAACCAATTTTTTTTTTGTCTTTTATTAACAGATATGGAACAAGGAAAAGTAGGTTGTATGAAACGATTAGGAATAACCGAATCGTGGGCCGTGAAGAGACAAGTTTTAGTTAGCGCAGCAGAAGCAGCTGAAATGATTTTACGTGTGGATGATATCTTACGAGCTGCACCCAGGAAACGCGTCAAAGATCGCGGCCGTTGTTAATTACACGGATGCCCATTGCATTATTCGCACTACTTTTTTTCATACTATGAAATTATGATTAAATAATAAACAATTTAGCTTTATCTATTTCAATTGATACTAACTGATATCAATATACTAATTATTTCATATTATTAATTTCACATCGCTGTTCGAAAGAAAAGTATTGGAAGGATTTATAAAACAATATGAATCATAATTTTGTAATCATTTTTTATAACAATACAATAGGTTTAACATTAATAAATGCTTCATACCTTGAATTTGTATTTTCTTCACTAAAGCTTTGCACCAACAACGTACTTCATACAAAATCTTAATAAAAAATTAACAGAAATATTTATAACTAGTATGGAATTGTAAAAAAAAATTAAAAATATTTTTTTGTTAATGATACAGTTGTAACGAATACTCTTTTATATAGTCTCGTGTACATTACACCAATATTTAAATACAGATCTATACCAAAAATAAGATATGTTTTTAAGAAAATTAAAACCATTAATGTCTTTTAGAATAAAGGAACACTAATAAACCAAACATCTACGTTTAAATGCGACAAAAATAATTTGTTGCTTCAATAAGCAAATCGTAATATTGAATCATAATCGAGTTTATCAAGGTTGGGATTACAAGCAAAATTAATCATTGGAGGTGGACCACACATAAGTACTATTGTCTCAAATGATGGAGGAAACATATGTTGCTTTATCATATCAGAATCTATATATCCAATGCTATATGGCCAACTTTCACGAGCGGAATCTAGTGTATACCAAAGTTTTAATTTGTTAGGATGATTTTTTGCAATTTCATCTAATTCATCCCGAAGTAATATATCTTTTTCTGTTTGATTGGCATAAAGTAGAGAAACTTGAGTTTCATCTGTGGAATCCTTTAATATAGCACGAATTAATTGCAACATTGGTGTGATTCCTGTTCCACCAGCTAACATTACAATCTGTAATATAAAAAGTAATACATTTGTTACTTAAATTTTACAAATAGAAAATACAATTGTATAAATTAAATATATATACCTTTTTAATATTATATTCTACAGGTGGACTTTTTCTTAAAATTTTTATACAGAACTTCCCATGACCTTTATAAACAAGTCGACCAGAAGGTCCCCTAAAATCAACTGTATCTCCAATTTTCAAATTGTCCAAGTACTGAGACAATTTTCCTCCTTCCGGAAATTTTGGATGTACATTTTTAAAATAAACCTAAATATATAATTTGATTTATAACTTTCATATTGAATTGCATGACAGATCATATCTTATTATTTACCTTAATAACAAGATCTACATAACCATGATCATCATCACTTGATACAGGAGTATAAGAACGTATAACAACTTCTTCTTCAATTTTTACTGTTAAATGTACATGCTGACCAATTGGTAATCCTAATACATGATCTGGAGTAGGCAATGCAAATCTGAATTTTCTTGTATCGTGATTTATTATGTCTTTTTTTATTAATGGTAAACTATATTTTACAACTGGATCAACTAACAAAATCGGAGCTTTCTTTTTTTTATCACTATTCCAACTTTTGTAGAATTTCATTACTAATCCTATTACAGCTATGGTTCCTACAGCAGCTAATACTGGTACAAACTAGAAAATAAAAAGAAAACATAAAAATTACAAGTTTTGAAAACAAGATTTGTAATTCCGAACTACTGATTTATATAAGAAATTAGTTTAAACTGTGCTATACCGTATACTTAAAAGATAACAACAAAATAAATAAGTTCAAAAGTTCAAAATGTGACTATACTATTGAATGTCATCTTTATATATATATAGAAGCACAAAATCATAAATATTTATGAATACCTATTACAACAATAAGTGGGAAGTTCAACTTCTGAACAATCAATTTATTGAATCAAATGACGCATTATTTCACAAACACTCTTTCTCATTTATACAATTATTAAATCGCTCCTTTTACATATTCATAGAAATTAGAAACTAAAAATAAACTTAGAATAAAACAATAATAAACTAAATTTTAAAAGGCAGAAATTGATTTCTCAAAGTTATTCATAAAAACAATGAAACCAGTTACATGTCATGACTTATTTCTCTAATATTTTTGATTAATATAAATAATATTTCATTATATTTTCGGAACTTTAATTTTTTTTTATTCAAATTTATATTTTTTTTTATTCAAATTTACTTACCAATGATCGTAAATTTGACATCGTAAATTAAATTACACGTGGTTCCAATTATAGCGAAAGTGTAAGACTAAGGATCTGACCAGAGGAAGAAATAGAGGGGATTGATAAAAAAAAATTCACAAATACTAACGGTTAGAGATTATTCGTATTGGAAAAGAATACAGAATATGCCTTTGGTTTATTACCAATCACCGGTTTCTGAAATTTCTATGCGCACGCTTCGAGATATTGCCGGCTTCTATATGGGATCAGATATAGGGCGCTATCCTTTAAAATAGATCTTATTTTCCTTGATCTAAGAACAGTTCTACCATTCTAATGTATTTATAGATACATGTGTATGTTACTGGAAGTATTATGTACATAACATTTATATGATACAATAAATGTAGCTTTATGATGATACATCAAACAAAAATTGTTTCATATTTCCTATAAAGTATCACATAACCTGAAGATTCCATATATCGTTTATATATTATTGTATTACATAAATAGCATTTTTATTAAATGAATGCCACGGAGCATGAATTATATTAAATATCTTCAATTATATTTTTTGTACATTTTTAGTTTTTATTATATTATATTAAATTATATTATAATTTAAATTATAAACGTTAATGTACATATATATATATACGCACACGTTACGAATAGTTTAATAAAAATATACATATTCATTTATGTATCACCATACCTATACGATTCATTTAAAATTAAAAATTAATGAATAGATTTGCATGAATTTAAATTTATTAATACTTCCATTTTATTCGTCGTACAAAACGGATGTAGTGAATAAAAAGGAAATTTGTAAATGCAATTAGGCAATGAAAAATTTTACATAAATGATTTGTTAAAACAATCACATGAGAGTTAAGAGACACGTACATACTTCTTCATGTTATTTATTTAAATATAATTATTTGGTTATGTAATTTGATACAATGATTTAATCCTTTATTAATTTCAAATCAAAGAAAATATATATGTAAGTGAGTATTTTAAAAAACAAAAAGGTTATTAAATATAATATACGCACGTAAGGTCCAATTGATGTAAGCTTCTCTTTATCCAACATAATGACTACGATAATATTTACACTATTATATGCACAATTATGTTTATAGCATTCAGTTTGATTTATTTCTGATTGTGAGTACCGTTTAGGAAAATATTTCAACAAATCAATCTTTACTCTAAACTACATCAATATTTACTCTATGAAAATTCGTTGAACAATTCGTTAAACTATCTATTGCTTAACTGAATGACCGTACAATTTTTAAGACTGATATTTGCTATCGAATGATAAAACAGTCCTGATAAAAATTAGCATATTTTTTACTATTTTAAGTTACTTAGGCAATTTTAGATTTAGTAATTTACTCTTCAGTAATTTAAACAATAGACATATTCTCATTTTTTTAAAGTGTATTAATATACAGTTTGTAACATTATATTTCCTTTAACAGTTATTTTAAAAGATTAATATTATATGATGAGACAGTTATATAATCTAGTTTTATGTGTTTATCATATAGTCATATACGTATATGTCCGTGATAAGAGATATGTCCGTAGAAAACATGATGATTTTTTAAGATTATTGTAACAGTAACTCGTGTTATTTTATATATAAATATATGAATAAATGTATCTTTATATAATTATTTTAATAATTTACAGTATGAAAATAAATTTAAAAAAATATATATATATAGTACAAAAATACATAAAATTTATTATATATTATTATTATTATTTATTAAATTTAAAAAAGAAATTTATTCTACAATAATAAATTTTTTATGTTGTTTCATAATGCGATATATTTATATAATATCAATATATTTATATTAGTTCATATATTGTGTTGATATTTATTGTTAGTAAGTAGCGACATCTTCGAAATTGTTTGAATTTATAGGTTAGTTAAGTACTTATATAGCATATCAAATATTGGTGTAAACATCGAATGACCGTATAGTTTCAAAATCATGTTTGCCTCGTGATTTTTGACGTGTTTAATTTTATGTATCAATGGCAGTGTTGCATCGTGCTCTATTTACATGGTTTAATCTTTTAATTTTTCTGATTCTGCTTGTCTTGAGGCTCGATCAGAGAATACAATGGAATTGGTTCATTGTTTTTATTCCAATGTGGTTGTATGATCACATACTTTTGGTTTATATTGTTTTTAATATGATATCTCATTGTAAAAATGGACGTGTTATTAATTTACGCTGGGAAGTAAGTTGAATAACAAAATATAAGTTAAAAGAAATATAATAGACTATATTATACATACAGTTTCATCAAAAACTATTACTTGTATGTAAATTGTTATGAAATAATTTATTAATAAAAGGATTATGAAGCTTTGTATTTCAATTTATATATGTTATTCCCCTAGTTACATAAATAAATAAAAGATATAGTATTCATTTTACTGTATTAATAGAAATTTCATTAAAAAAAAATTTAATTCATCATGTATATGTTGTAAGTGAAATTATATGTAACATTTGTTGAATGAAACTTTAAATTATCTGTAAATACTTCTTAGTTTCTTATAAATAGATAAATCATAATATTAAAGTTTATAAGTATAAATTTCTGAATGTATTTTATATATAATGCAAAGCCTATGAATTTGATATAACTATTTATCTTGATGAAACTGGTTACTTTGTTGCATTTTATGAAAACTGAAATAGTTTTTTTTCAGATATGGTATATGACAGCTGTGTTCATGAAACTAAGTGCCCAAATTTTAATATGTTTGAAATTAGAAGCACCACATTGGTTTTTACCAGCAAAAGTTGTTTTGGCACCGTTTTGGATTCTTCTTCCAGCATTGGCAGTTGACGTTTTTGTACATTTGATATATCATTATCGATATTAATAATGACTAAGTCACAATTGACTCAGAAATATTACAATAAATGTATGCAATATTTATCATATTTTATATAAATTAAATTATGAATAATTATTTTTAATGTAACTGTTATTGATGTTAGCTAATTTTATTTGTAAACAATAATTTATATTTTTCATATTTAAGAATTCTATAAATTATTGAATTTATTAATCGATAATTCAAGAATGCATTTTAAGTAACTTTGAATTTTATTTCATATGTGTGTGTATACAATATACAAAAACTTCCTTACATATCAGTTTTTTGTTAAAATGTAAGTGCACTTTCAGATATGTTAGTCACAAGATGCCAGTCTAGCGTACTATAAATACTCTATTGCACAAGGATGAATAGGACAAAGATATAAATAAGTAACTCTATACCAGCTTCATTATTGAAGCTTTCTTCATTAGTTCATAAGACTGTCATCATTTGCAAACAGTAAAGTGATTACAATATTTCTTAATATATTTATTAAAATAAGAAATAAATAACAATGAAACACTGGAAGAAGTTGATGTAGTTACGTTTACTGTTATGCAATATGGTTCATTGACAAGTGTCTTTTACTTGTATCGTGCATGTAATTATTCCAACAACCATCTGTCACATTTCAAGTTGCATACTATTGAAATTTTTTCATCAGAAATGATCAGTGGAATTGTTGTTTAGTGGAATACAGTACTCACAAGACAAAACGTTTTCTTAGCTTAGTTGACAGTAGAACAAGTTTTATAACATTTACATAGTATTTTTATATTTTGATTGTTTTCAACTGAATATTTTATGTGAGTGAAAGTTATGAATTTACAAAGTGGGCAACAACAATCGTAGTGATTCATTATATATTTGAATTTTTGAATTTGCAAAGATGGATAGTAACATACAACAGGTAGATCATTAGATATGTTTTTTACAATTATTAGTAAACAACGTAAATTAACAATAAATTCAGAGATTAAAATTTATAAGATTAAAATTTAAACTTAATATTTAATAAATAGATACGTACTCTATCTACTTTATTCAATTAATGATTCTTGATTTATTGTAATTTTCTTTTACAGATGAATGTGATTTATTTTATATTTCTATGTTTATTATTATCATTACTGAAAAATGGAGCTGATGGAGGCTCAGTTACAGTAACAGAAGTCCCAGCTGGTCATTTAGCTGAACTTCCATGTTTAAGCAGTGATGATCATCATCGTTTTATGTTTTGGCAACTTACTGATGATAATCGCATTATTGGACCTGGAAATCCAATGGATGAAAACAAGTACAATTATGAAGTGCTAACAGGAAAACTTTTCATAAGGGTAAATAATTATTCTAAAAATATTTTTTATTATTCTTACCTTAAAAAAATTGTTTTCAGGGTGTATCAACAGCTGAATCTGGCTTCTATAAGTGTGTTTCTAAAGGTATATCAGATCATTCTGCTATTAATATTCATGTTGTTGAATTAATAGTTAAGAAAGATTGGGAAGATGTTTGGGAAAATGATTTTGAGGTATATTAAGATTCTTTAACATAATAAATATATTTTTGCTATATGTTTTAAATGCCTTATTTTTGTAATAGACAAATTTATTACGGGGTATGGCTGCTGTTATGGTAATAGTTGTTGCTATAGCTGTTGTCCTTTTCATTATCACAACAAAAAGAAGACGCAATCGCAGATTTTTTGGTAATTATAAATATTAAATCTAACTTCTATATAAAACAAAAGATCATATTAAATGAATTATTCTAGATTTGGAAGAATCAAGAGAAAATTCTCCTGCAAAGTATACACCAAATGTCTATACTGGCCCTGCACCAACTATACCAACAATCGATGAAGGGGGTATTGATAATGAAGCTCTTGATATTGATTTTCCAAGGGTACTCAAACAAATGCAAAAATAATAAATAATTTTGTAGTATATTCAAAAATTTTTTATAGTAGATGTAATAAAAGTGCAATATAAATAATACATCGAAAGACATACACACACATATACAGTCATATTCGTTTATGTACATATACATTGGTTTAGGAATTATGCTATGAAGACATAAAATTCATTTCATAAGTAAAAGAATCATTTCTAATTGCAGATGAAAGGAAACATGTATATATATTTGTATATATATAAATAATGATTAAATTGTTTAATCATACGTTTATTGAGAACTTGCAGTTATTCCATGAGTAGTATCTAACATACTATCATTAGTTCCATCATCTTCGTCTTCTTCATCATCCTCTTCTTCAGGTTCCACTTCAGTTTCTAGTAATCTTATTTTCCTATTATTTTCATTTAAAACAGCGGCTACTTTTCGTGCACCGCTGACTGCTATTTTTTTAGCAGATATACCTTGAAAAGGCCGTGGCCAACTGTTACCTAAAAGATCTACTAAACTAAGTACATTCTGATCTTGATTTTCAAAAATTCGAGCATTATTCAATGGTAACTGTACAAGGTATGATGCGTGCGTATGCTTGTTAAGTAACAATAAACTAAGATATTCACTAGAGTAAAATTGTAAATCAACTACAGTATAATCTAAGTACGCTTTGGAATAAGATTCTGCAAAAGACACAGACAAAAAGTTACTTCAGTTCTAAAAATTAAATTATTACACACATATTCATATTAAAACAACAAACCTGTTTTATGATCTGTATCTATTGTAGCCAACTTAAAATTGAGAGAAATAGGTTCCATGGATGAACATTCAACTTTAAACAATCTCAATATTTTATGATCTACATCACATGTAGCTACTAACAAACCATCATTATTTGTTGTAATTTGTGACGATGTAAATCCTATAGATGGTGATAAAGCAATATTTGATATGGTGAAATGTTCAACTAGGCCTTGATAAGATTCACGAAATACATTATGTATGGCAGTAATCAATTTCGCATGAGACTGCAATAAAGAATAATTAAGATCTTGTTTCACAATAAGTGGATGATCGCGAAGGCAATGATTTTCATCGAGCATGGTAGCCCATTCGCTTCCTTCGGGAGTTAAACAAATTTGTAAATTTTCCCGTCGTAAGTATTGACCTAACTTTTCTAAATTTACTCCTTTCCTTGCTCCAACGCCGGGTTCAGTTTTATCAAAACCGCGTAAAAATTCTGCTATAAATGTTAATTCTTGTTGGCTCACGCGACTTACTTCAGATGGTATTCTTTCATCTGATAATCTTAAAATGGCAACGTACAGCCACCTTAAAATAAAAATATAGAAAATAATGAAATAGAGAAAATGTTAGACAAGAATTATAATTTTTAAACATACCGGAAGAAGGCTTTATAATCACGCATACTGTGATCTATCACTTGTTGAATTTCAGAAGATTTTGCTAGAAAAGCTTCTGATGCATGGAGAGCATTAGTTATAATACTTTCGTCAGTGAGTCCTAGTAATTCATATGGACCACCTAATCTGACCATTCCTCTCATTTCAGCTAATTGATATACCAGGGCCATTCCAACACTAGTTAAATTTTTTAAGACTAATTTCTACAAAATAATAATGTATTGTTATGATAGAGACAAATTTTAAAAATTGTTACTGTCATACCTGTATATTGCTGTAACACATTTCAATACTGTGTCCCAACTTTTTTAAACCCTTTTCAGTTAAATCACGTAGCAAAAAATTCTCTAAGTTTTGCGTAGGTATACCAATCATTAATAATTCTAGAAAATCTGCAGCAACTCCACCGGGTGGATTTGTTTCCGCATATCGCGCAAGCTTCTCGTCCATTTCCAAAAGAATTGTTTCCCACGCTTCAGATATTGCCATTAATGTACGTGAAAGATAATCCATCAAGTACTCAATATTAGCTTGAGCCTGTGCTACCTCAAATTTAGATAAAATTTTTATAGAAATTTAATTGTTATAACAAAATTTCAAAATATATCAAGCTAAGAACCTTTAAAAATGCTGTGCTTTGTTCTAACAATGGACAACATAATCTACTTGCTTTGATGCCATTATTATCTTTCCATGTGATCCACATTAATTTATCAACTCCTCCACTAATTTCTAATATTTGGCCATGACCAATAGAAATTGTACCACAGTAGAACATTCCAAATACATACATTGCAACGTTTCCATCATCTAAGCCAAGCTATAAAAAAATACAATTATTTATAAATGATTAAAATATCTTAAAGTGATGACAATATTCTAAAAATATATACTTACAAAAAGTATGTCCAAAGTTTGAGATAAAAATTCTTTGCGTTCTGGTTCTTGACCGAAACTTCTGTTTAAGCTAGGTAAAGGTGGAAGATATTCTCCAGTTGGTAGCATATTTGCTTTGTTACCACTTAATGAAGTATCATTTTCCAAATTTGCTAATGGTAGCCATGTCATGCATGTAATTGCATTGTGCAACATCAATTTTATTCTATGTATAATATTTTTATTTTCAATATCTACAAGACACACTAATTTAGAACTTTCATAACAAATTGCTAGAAGTTTTCCATCTGGTCTCCATGCTAGATTCACTATAGTATCAGATTCTTCTTGAGGACTTAACAACCACACTCTTTGCCATGTTAATCTGTGCAATGTAACTTCTCCTACAATAATCATTTTAATAAATATAATATTATTTATTACATTTATAATCATTAAGAAATAATATTACATTTTTATTATCTTATTTAAAATATAAATAGTTAATATTGACTATGAAATATTGTAATAATATAAATAACTGAAAAATTTAGTTTTCTTATTATTTAAGAAATCTAACCTTTTACATTTGCAATTGCTAACAGATCCATTTTTGGAGACCATTGCATCCGTGTTACTTCAGCTAAAAGTTGTCTTTCTTCTAATTGCCTCATACTACCTGCCATTTTTGTAATATTCATCACAATTTAATTTGCAACATAATTCTACCGAACTATTGAAAAACGCAACTTTGAGGTTACGTTTACCACCAGTATAGTTTGTTTATAAAATACTACATATACATAAGCACTGTAGAAGCTGTTTCCTTACTTGTATTCCATTAAACACACACATAAATAAATATATGCATATTTATTGATAATTAACATTTTTCGAAAAACATATTTTTACATATGTTTTATGTACAGTTTCAAAATTTTTATATTCATCATATCTCTGAAAAATGTAATTATGAATGAAGTTTAAGTAAATATAATAAAATAATAAAAAATTTACGTATGTAGTGTCTTTTTTAATATAATTTTTGAAATACAACCAAAGATAATATAATATTCAACTATATGTTACATAGCTTTTTAATTTACTCGAAGATCGGAGTATTAATGTTTCATAATTGAAAAATTCACGAATAAGCGTAGCAGGAATGCGACAGTTAAACAAATTGTCTAAACGTTGCCAAGACCAATTCAGCGAATGTTGAAGGTACAGACTTAAAAATTAAAAATAAACGCCGCTATTGGCGTTGTAGCATGCGTATAAGCGATCGGGCATTATAGACAAGATTTCGTGCCTAAACAAATTTTTAATAGAAATATCATTTCGAGTTTCATGCGCTATGTAATAAATTGTTATAATATACGTACGAACAGAATAAATCTAACCGAGATGGGATGCGTCTTCTCTTTAGAAAATGAGGTCACTGAAGTTCAACTCACAATTGGACCAAACCAGATTTTCATGCCATCGCGTTTTGAGGCAACTTTGAAGTCTAAAATTCAAATGATATTACAGATGTAATTGATATTACAAAGATTAGAAATTTGATTTATATTTGTATTTATTTATTTATTTATTTTTTTGTTTTTTGGAATATTGAGTCTTACAATGGCATTTGCTTTATGTTGAAAATTTTGAAATAAGTTTGTAAAAATCAGGAACCAGATTTTTCGGTTTTGGAAATTTTAGAAATTTTAGAAATATTTTTCTGTATTCGCAACATCGATAATTTAAGCTAAGATATTTATGATTAATTAATAATTAATTAGGAAAATTAAGAATTCGAAAAAAATAAATATGTTTTATGACAATTATAAACTGCGCATTATCATTGACGAAAATATCAAAATTTATTAAAAATTCCAGGTTCCTGGCAGAAAGTGTCGTACTAAAGTCAAGAATTTTATTTCTTACAATTGCAAGGCAGAAGAACGTGATACACAAACAAAGTAGAAACAGACATAGCTTAACATTCTGAGTCCGCCATATTTGCAATATTCAACAAAATTTAATATTTTAATAAACGTTGAATGTCAAGACACAATAAAAAAAAAGACAAACTACGAATGAACAAAAAACTCATTCTTTTTATTTGAAAGAAATTCATACTTGAAGATGTAATCTCCATTATTTCTATATTCGTCTAGTTAATTAAAATTGGTTCACCCTAAAACCTCAATACCCGAGACGCTTGCGTTCACGTGGTTCTCAACTGGCGCCCCATGGATCCTCTTGATCAATTCCGTAGATCCACTCACAATACTTATTCATGAAACAATCCTTTTACTTCGAAATTTCTTCTTCAGTCTCAATTCACTGATCTATTCAAAAGAAATGGAAAGTAGCGAATGAAAATTTAGAAGAACTCATCAAATCAAAATCTACTCGTCGAATCAATGTATCCATAAGTTTATTCATCGATATCGAAATTCATTCAAATGGCATATCCGGAACGAATATAATAAGTAAGGTTTACTTGTAGAACTGGAGACTGGATTCGTCGTTTCGAAATTTATTCATGAAAATCTACTGACTGATACAGCGTGATACGATCGTGGCAAAGTTAGCCGAAGGGGAAGAGTTCGTCGTGGCGGGTTCGATGTTGGAACAAAGTCGATCGAAGGTGGCGGCCGGCTGGCGAAGAACGCGTGCGGAGCAGGAGGGCGCCGAGGAACGCCACTGGCCACGTGACCCGCCAGCAGAATCCGCGGCGTCCGCCGAAAATCTAAATCCGTCCGAGCCGAGAAGAAGAGGCACCCGCCGCCGGCCTCCGGGGACTCGCCGCCCGAGAGACCGCAAACGCGATAGTCAATAATTGCCTTTAGGGTGCACCGGACCGGCGAGCGCCAGCAGACAGAGATCGAGACCGTGTGATCATCGTCCGCGTGTGAAAACAAGCCGAGCCCCCGTTCCTCGGTGGCTTCGAAGCACCTAGAGGAGGGTAGCCAACACGTTGACAGGATGATACGCGTCGACGAGACTGACCCGGTGGGCGGTAAGGGAGACCAAGCATTTCTCGATACACACCGAACGGCGTGCCAGCTTTATGGAATGATCACCGATTGCATCGAACACCGTCGTGGCTTCTTTGTGAAATAGTTTGATGGCAACGATTGGAATATAGATGTATAAAGTTCGCGTAGCACGATATATTATGCATGTGGCGGGCGGGCACATGGTCGAGGATTTCAAGTATAGAATTGTCGAAGATCATCGCGATCTGTTTGTGAAGCATTGAATACGGAAACGATTGTTGGAATATAGATATGAAGATACAAGGCTTTCAGATTATAGCATTATATTATACGTATGGTGAATAGGATGTCAGTGTCAAGTGTAAAATTATCCAAATTGTCGAATGACGAAAATGATTGCTGGAATAGAGTAACAAACAAAATTTTTTCAAAGTAAAGTATATTAGATTGGCGTCGAGGGTTTTAAGTGTGAAGTTGTTTCCTCTTGGAAGAAATATTTTAATACATATTTCATTCTGTTGAAGCTAACTGTAGATTGATGTGTTGAGTAAATCTGTACGCGAAGACGACAGTGACACGAAAGATGTTCGTTTCTATAAGATAGGAAAAAAGTGTTAAAACTTTTTAAAATAATGAAAGATAGTTCGTGATTTCCACTCTTATCCAAGTGAAGCGTGGCACAGCGTGTTTCGAGCGTGGTTTTTCTTTAAATAAATGCAGTGATTCATTGGAATTTGGGACGGTGATAGAGCGTCGTTGGTTGTTTACCGATCTCTTTGAACGATCGGTCTCGATGAACCCCGAAATCGTTCGAGGCTACGGATGTTCCTAACCAGCTGTCTCGTACAAAACGATGAAATGAGGTCGCGACCGACACGAAACTATGCGGGGAGACG